AAAAAAAAAAAAAAAAAGGAATCCCCAAGGTCAAGATTATCTGATCTCTGGTAATAGCTTGGAGTCTCCCAACATACTTGAAACCCCCAACAGTTCACTGCAATAATTTTTTTTTTTTTTTTTGAGCCAGGGTCTTGCTCTGTCATCCAGGCTGAAGTGCAGTGACACTATCTCAGTTCACTGAAGCCTCAACCTCCTAGGCTCAAGCCATCCTCCCACCTCAGCCTCCCAGGTAGCTAGGACCGCAGGCGCAGGCCACAACCACCTGAATTTTTGTAGATACAGGGTTTTGCCATGTTGCCCAGGCTGGTCTTCAACTCCTGAGCTAAGGTGATCTGCCTGCCTTGGCCTACCAAAGTGCTGGGGTTACAGGTGTGAGCCACCATGACTGGCTGCAAATTGACATTTTAAAGAAGGCACATACTTAACATCCAGTGACTGAAGAAGATGCCACTTAAAACAGATATTCCTTTTAAAAAAAGGAAAAAAAAGGGGGACCTTGTTACAGATCCAAATATAAACAGCTTAGTGCTTTCATGAGTAAGTTTTACAATAAAACCCATAAAGTAGGGGTGCAGTGGTTCATGTCTGTAATCCCAACACAGTGGGAGGCTGAAGCAGAAGGGTCACTTGCACCCAGGAATTAAGAGATCAGCCTGGGCCACACAGTGGGGACCCCCTCTCTGTTTAAAAACCAGAAAAACAATGCCAGGCACTGTGGCTCACGCCTGTAATCCCAGCCCTTTGTGAGGCTATGGTGGGTGGATCATGAGGTCAGGAGTTCAAGCCCAACCTGAAAAATACGGTGAAACCCCAACTCTACTAAAAATACGAAAATTAGCTGGGCGTGGTGACAGGCGCCTATAATCCCAGCTACTCAGGAGGCTGAGGCAGAATTGCTTGAACCTGGGTGGCGGAGGTTGCAGTGGGCCGAGATCGCACCACTGCACTCCAGCCTGTGTGACAGTGAGACACTGTCTCAAAATAACAGCTGGGTGTAGTGGCTCACACCTGTAATCCCGGCACTTTGGGAGGCCAAGGCAGGTGGATCACCTGAGGTCAGGGGTTCGGGACCAGCCTGGCTAACATGGTGAAACCCCATCTCTATTAAAATTATAAAAATTAGCTGGGTATGGTGGGGTATTGCCTGTAATTCTAGCTACTTGGGAGGCTGAGGCAGGAGAACTACTTGAACCCAGGAGGTGGAGACTGTAGTGAGCTGAGATGGTGCCACTGCACTCCAGCCTGGGCAACAAGAGGGAGACTCTGTCTCAAAACCAAAACAAATCACAAAAAAGCCCAATAAAGTGATTAAAGTTCTCCAATATGTTCTTTCTTCAAAAATCTCATCCCCTCCCCACTATTTCTACTAACAACCAATGCAAAAGACAAAATGAAGAACCTCGAGAAATATCAGGCACCATCTATAATCTCTCCAGTTTAATGGTGCTTCTGGGAAATCCATTCCCTAAAACCAAACTCTCTACCACCTTTTCCATAAAAACCTTAAGTCTTTAGTCATAGAGGTGCCTTCCCACCTGGATGCCAGGAGCCCAGGTATCCACACTATAGAATCTAACACTGCAGATGTTTGTGTAAAAAATGTGGCCTCTAAATTACTAAGACTCTTGTTCGCCCACCCTCCTTGGGGAGTTTGGCACTGTTTTTTTTGTTTTTTGCAGACAGGGTCTCACTCCAATGCCCTGGCTAGAATGCAGTGGTGCAATCACAGCTCACTGCAGTCTCAATTTCCCGGGCTCAGGTGATTCTCCCACCTCAGCCTCTCAAGTAGCTGGGACTATGGGCATGTGCCACCACATCTGGCTAATTTTCAAATATTTTGTAGAGACAAGGTTTGCCATTCAAGGTTTGCCATGTCCCCGAGGCTGGTCTTGAACTCCTGACCTTAAGTGATCTGCCCATCTTGGTCTCCCAAAGTTCTGGGATTACAGGTGTGAGCCACCGTGCCCAACTGAGGCTTGGAACTTTAAAGCATAACCTCCTTCCTGGGTTTCAGGACTAGAGAGGCAAAAAGCACTCCAAAGAGTACCCGTGGTAGGAAAACAGGCAAGATTATAAACTATAAATGCAGAGATTAAGGTAGGAAGAGAAAGGCTGACCTTCACTGACTTGATCAGCACCTCTCAAGGCTAGGCTGACACAGGCAGTCAAACCATAAGTGAAGATGCTTAAGCAACCTTCTTCATGTCCATTAGATTCACTGCTCAAATCTAGACCAGCTTCCTAAATGTAAAAGTTAAGAACATAGAAAAAGAAACTCTGCTGGCCTTAGAGTATCATAAATTTGAATAAACTGAATAAAAATATTGATTTTGCTTTGACTTTAACTGAACATTACATATAAGGCATTAATAAGCACTGGAATGCCATGAGGAAAAAAGAAAATGTGCCCCAGAAAAACACTTAACTGCTGTTGTAAATAGATGTTAGGAGATGAGAAGTTTAAAGGAAGGAAGAGTGTATGCCCGCCTCTCCATCCCAGCATATCCATCCATGCATACACAGGAAACTGGGCTCCAAAGCCTGCCACAGTAGGCAAAAGAAGAAACAAGTCACCTACCACTGTCAGAGGAATCCTCTTTCTTAGAGCGCATCTTTCTTTTTCTTCCACGTTTACTCTTTTTCGTTTCTCCTCCATTTTCCCCCTCTACACCATCTGGGCCAGCACAATTATCAGCATGTCTTGCCATGGTATTCTAACAAACAGAACAAAATCCTCTTTTACACCACTAAATAAGCTAAGATCAGATTGCAAGTTACTTTAATAAAATCCATATTAAGCCTAAAAGTTCTACTATCTGCTAAGTGCATCCTGAACATGCTGTCTCTGCTCAGGGGAAATGGGTAAGGCTGGGTTCTCTCAGCGGAGGCTCAGCAGCCTGCACACAGAGATGGAGGAGGATCAGACCAGCTCCTGGTTCTGTCAAGATCTAACACATCCCCAAGAGAAGATCTAGGACAGACTACAGCTAGCTAGAGGTGGGGTGGGGTGCAGGTTTCAATCTACCTAAGGACATTTCTTTATACAATCAATCTATACCGTGTTCCCCATCAGTGGAAGGGTTCACACATGGATAGGAACATCAAGATGGGGATGACTAACCCTTTCCAAACAATGGAGCATCTCTCCTTCTAACCTCAGTTAAAAAAAACTGCTTTGCTCTGCAGGGGAAGACCAAGAATCCAATATTCAGTATCATAATAGGAAAAGTGAAGTTTTGACCCTTACCCGACGTGTAAATGTTTTCCCACACTTAGAACACACAAAGGCTGCAGGGACAAAGTTGGGGTCGTGATAGCGCTTGAAGTGCATGTCGAGAAGCTGCTTCTGGCGGAAGGTCTTATCGCAGTGGCTGCAGGCGTAAGGCTTCTCCCCGGTGTGAGTGCGCTTGTGCATGATCATGTGCCTCTCCTGAAACGGCATGGGGGGGAAGCCCTCAGAGCCTGCTCGTGGGGCTACTGCCCTAGCTACCACCTGCATCCATGTGACCAGTAGACCTTTCTTACCCAAGCTATGTCTAGATTCAACACGGCTTGCTGAGATAATAAAGGTATATATTTAGAGACTGAGTCTCACTCTGTTGCCCAGGCTGGAGAGCAGTGGTGTGATCACGGCTTACTGAAGCTTTGAACTGGGACCATAGGTATCAGCCACCATGCCCAGCTAATTATTATTATTTTTTTTGAGATGGAGTCTTGCTCTCATGCCCAGGCAGGAGTGCAGTGGCACGATCTTGGCTCACTGAAACCTCCGCCTCCCGGGTTCAAGCAATTCTCCTGCCTCGGCCTCTCCAGTGGCTGGGATTACAGGCAACTGCCACCACACCCAGCTAATTTTTATATTTTTTAGTAGATATGGGGTTTCATCCATGTTGTCCAAGCTGGTCTTGAACTCCTGGCCTCAAATGATCTGCCTCCCTTAGCTTCCCAAAGTGCTGGGATTACAGGTGTGAGCCACTGCGCCCAACCCCAGCTAATTTTTTATTTTTATAGAGATGAGGTCTCTCTGTTGCCCACCTCAGCCTCCCAAAGTGCTAGGATTACAGGTGTGAGCCTCTGCACCCGGCTTGATAAAGGTATTTTTAGTGGGGTGCAGAACTGCTGCTACAATTCTAGCACAGATAAAGCCGCTTACTCCTGCTGAGCTCTTTCTCTGTCTTCCTCCCAAGAGTCATGTCCCTGGATGACATTTGTCCCCTCTCAAGTCCTGGACTTACTTTTCACAGTTTTCAGAAATAAGTCTGCTTAAGGAAGAGGTAAGCTGTAACTAACACATCAGCAGGACACCGGGATGATATAACTGACCAGGAATATGACCTTTGATTTTGGTAACATTCCTCATAATCCACAGTTTGAAAATACTATACTTAAAAATAGCCATTGTACTAGGTATGGAAATGCCCTCTGATAACACCAGACACCAAAGAACCACCAACCACTTTCAGTGAAGGTTCCTACCTGTCTACAAGCATAATCACACTGGTCGCACTTAAAGCGCTTCTCATTCTTGTGTGACTTCTGATGCTGGATGAGGGCGTAGCGCTCATGAAACACAGCATCACAGTAACGACATTTCTTGCCTTGCTCAATATAGGAATGCTGCTTTCTCAAGTGGACACCTGAAAGCACAGTACAAAAGCCCAGTGTAATGTGAAAACACAAACAAGCATTTTCAACAAGTTACTAATACATTTCTTCAGATTCTTAATATTACTGTGGGTGCTATACAGAAAATGAATGAAAAGGCAGAGTAACAGGTGCAGGAAAAATTAAGATTGTTCAAACAGGATAGGTGAGAGAATACGGTGGCTGGGACAAGCTTGATGGCAATGGGTGTGGATGGATGGAAGGGGAAGAACTGATGAGAGATGGAAGCAGTTGAGTCAACAGGACTTAGTGACTTAGTGACTTCACCCTACTAAAAGAGTGAAGCAGAAAGTAGACGTCAGGCCTGGAAAACCAGGTAGGTATTGGGGTAATTTACTGAGACAATAGTGGAAGAGGGCTAAAGACCAAGTTGTTTGTGTTATTTTGGGGGCCAGAGGGGTACAGAGAATAGAGAAGTTTTAGACAACTTCAGTTTTAGACATGCTGAATACGAAATGCCAGAGACAAAGCAGGGGTGGGATGGCAAAGGACACATGGTTACATAAGTCTAACTCAAAAGAAAGATCTGGAGTAGGAATAGAAATGTACAAGTTGTTAGGATTTGAAAGCGGCTACACTTATCACTGTACCACCAATGCTACAAAGAGTTGTTAGAATCTGACTGTGAGACCATGGGAGCTGATAAGATCACTAAGGCAAAAAGTAGAATGAAAAAAAAAAAAATGGACGGGTCATGATTTAAGAAGTCTAAGTGTTGGCCAGGCTAGGTGGCTCATGCCTGTAAACCCAGCACTTTGGGATGCCGAGGCAGGTAGATCACCTGAGGTAAGAAGTTCAAGACCAGCCTGGTCAACATGGTGAAACCCTGTCACTACAAAAATTAGCCGGGCATGGTGTTGTACACCTGTAAACCTGTAATCTCAGCTACTCAGGAGGCTGAGGCAAGAGAATGGCTTGAACCCGGGAGGCGGAAGTTGCAGTGAGCCAAGGTTGTGCTATTGCACTGCACTCTAACCTGGGCAACAAAGACTCCACCTCAAAAAACAAAACAAAACAAAACAAAACAAAA